GGGCTGTGTACGCACGCATGTGGGCTATGGGTGAGCGCGAGCGCGAGCTGGGACGTGTTGCTAGATAGGCCAGGCTGGGCTGCTGCGTCGGTTGGGCCAAGGGAAGGGGTGAGCGGGCCATGCAGTGGATAAGGGGGAGGGAATGGCCTGGTTGAGCTGGTGCTTCGTCTTGGGCCGAAAGGCTTTTCTATTTCATTCTCCTATTTCCTGTCCTTTTCTATTTCTATTTCCAACCTATTTCCTTCCATGGTTCCTATATTGTATACATGAGTCGCCAACATGTACACCTCCTAGTGGGGTCCTCTAGGGGTCACTTAGGGCTCTAGGGTCCATGCCAAGGGTTGACAACTCACGTGCATTGATTTGATAAAGATAGTTGGTTGACTATAGAAATTAGGTCAAGGGGTTCGAAACTAAAGAGATGAATTGAGAGAGAGAGAGAGGTAGAGGGATTCATGAGAGATTCCAGAAGGAGTCAAAAGGATTTGCTACGGACTTGTGCTCTCCAACACAAAACCCTAAACCAACTAAGGAACTCCAACAAACTCTTACAAGCAACACTATATGTATGCAACAATTTATTTATAAATTGTTCTTTGTTTGACCTAGTATCTATATGATTCACACATTGCAGGAAAATTTTTAAAAAGTTCATATTTTTGGCTTCTCCAAAAACCTGGGTTGTTACATGTTGAGTGCAACCACTATTGATGTAGACAACGCCCGATCTTCCAATAGGTATGATAGCGTCGATTGGTGGAGACTCGACGTTTACGATCTAGGCTTCCAACCAAGACTGATTCAGACCCCCGCAACCGCTACACCACTGCTCCGTTGGTTATCAACCACGCGAACGCGATTGACCTTGCCAAGAAGGCTTTCTTGTAAGCGGATCGAGAACACAAGCAAGAACGGGATGAACGCAATCTGAAATTGCAAATAAATATGAGGCTTATGATAACGAGAAGGAGTTCAAGTCTTTATTCAAAAGGACTAATCGTCATAGGCGAACAAGATCAAGAACAGGGGCCCTAGTTCACAGCAAGCGACCTTGGCGGCACAGTTGCAGCAAAACGATGTCTGTTTAACAAGAAAATCAAGAACTAAACAAAACCCCCAAACCCTAAGGAGAGCAACGGCTGCTAATTATAGAGTCTTGGGCGTCACCGCCATAGACGCACCCCCTAATGGGCCCAAACACGATACACGGTCCAATGGAAAAAACGGTGTCGCGGCACCCTGGCAGATTCAGGACGCTGACTTGTTTTGATGATTCCCATTGATTTCGAAGGGCTTTTGATGTGAGACAACTTGCATTTGCTTCCTTATCAAATTAGCTTTCCATCCATATGTGGATCGTTGAAAACGGAGTCCGGATGCGCCCGTGTGACCAGTTTTATGACAGACTGGTGCTGGAACCCGAGATGGGCTCCAACTTCAGTTGGACCAGGCCTCCACCATGAGAAAGATGAATTGGACGTCCATGCTGGACCTCCTCCTCTCCTTGTCTTGTATGCGACGAAGTAGTGATGTCCCTCAAAGATAGGAGAGGGTCTATCCCCGTGGGACATCTTGCTCTAGGCGGTTAAGCCTAATTTAGGGAGAACCTGCTTTGATACCAATTGAAAGGATCAAGATACCCAAGAGGGGGTGAATTGGGCTAATTATTTTTTTTGCAATAATTAAGCCTTACACTTAGCCCATTTCACCCCTTGTGTCTAGAATGTGTTTCTATTATTCTGTCGTACAAAAGTTTTGCACCCTAGGTTCCAATCCTACTCTAGCATGATAATTCTAGAAATGTAAAGACATGAAATAAATTGCTCAAATGTAAATGCTCAAAATAAAGAGAGGGAAAGGAACACGGCGATGTTTTTTCGAGGTATTGGAGAGTTGTCACTCCCCACTAGTCCTCGTTGGAGCACCCGCGCAAGGGTGTAGCTCCCCCTTGATCCACGCAAGGATCAAATGCTCTCTACGGGCTGATTCTTTGACACTCCATCACGGTGAATCGTCCACAACCGCTCACAACATGACTTGGATCATCCACAAGCTCCGCCGAATGATCACCAAGCTTCCAACCATCACCGAGCCGTCTAGGTGATGGTGATCACCAAGAGTAACAAGCACAAACTCTCACTTGACCAAGACAAACCTAATGAAAAATGTGGATGCACACTTGCTACTCCCTATGCACCAGTGACGTCCTTAATCTTGGATTATCAACTCTCAATCACCACACTAGGCTCTTGCTCTCTCTTGCACTCCAAAGGCATTTCACAGCTGAACAATTGGGCAAGAGACCTCCCATGAATGAGTGGAATAAATATTTATACCCCCTCATTCAAAACATAACGGTTGGAGGCCAACTCAGCAAGTTTCGGGGTGACCGAACACGCCGGTCAGGGTAACTGGACGCTCCGGTTAGTAGTACACGTCATTGTGTCAGATAGAGCCGTTAGTTTTGACCGAACTCTATCCTGCGTCCGATCATCACCCACCGGATGCGTTCGGTCAGCAAAATGCCCCTATGGATGCTCTCTGATGTTGATCGGACGCATGCACCCTAGCGTCCGGTCATGTACTGTTTAGCGTCCGGTCAGTACATAACTGTAGCTGCTGATCAAATGAACTGACCGTTCTCTTCACGCTGCGTCTGGTCACAACCAAATCAGCGTCCGATCAGTCATTTGACCCTTCATTCACTTCTAATTCGAAATCCTTCGAGAATGAAGTTGACTTCTATCGGTCTTAGGGCTATTTCTGAGCTACCTAGTGCTAAGTTTGACATATGTGCACCACACCTAATCCATTATACTCACCTAGGTCAAGCTACTATTCCATACCCCCCTTAATAGTATGACCAAAGAAAAAACAAAGTTCTAAACTACTCTAAGTGTCTCTCTAACGCCAAAACGATACTTAGAACTAGTCCGTCCTTAACCTTGTCGTCCATCCTTCGAAAACCGAAACGATTTTCATCGATAGGGGCATGAGAACCATGATTGCCCAATCAATTTCCATTATCATGACCTAACTCAAATTGCCTCTGCAAAACACGCATTAGTCATAGTAATCTCGTGTCGTCATTAATCACCGAAACCCAACTAGGGGCCTAGATGCTTTCAGCTTTCTCAGAAATGGAGGCCATGCAGGACCACCTTCAATCAGTGCAGCATGAAGGACATGAACTTGATGTCTGGTCATTTTCATGGGGCAACAAATCATATTCTTCGAGGAAATTTTACAAGCTAGCCTTCCAGAATGTACACACTCAACCAACTTTCGGATGGGTCTGGCGCTCCAAGTGCACAAAGCGCGTGAAATTTTTTGCCTGGCTCGTTCTAGTGGACCGCCTCAACACCAAAACGATGCTTCGACGGAGGAATCTCAACATTCAAGGCACGGTGACCGTGTTCTGTGTCATGTGCCAAGACGAGATAGAGGAAGATATAGAACATCTTTTCTTCACATGTCCGTTTGCAAAAGCCTGCTGGCAGCGGATTGGGGTGCAATGGGAGGAGCATCTGTCCCTTCTTCCAAGGCTAGCTGAAGCAAAAGCACGATATGGCATGCAGTTCTTCATGGAGGCAATCCTCATAGCTGGATGGGAGATATGGAAGCTTAGAAATGACAAGGTTTTTGAGAGGAAAATCCGAGTTTGCATATGTGGTTTGCAAACTTCAAGAGTCAGTGCCTCCTTCAGTCGTGTCGTTTTCCGGAGGATCTTAGGACCTCCTTCTGCATGTGGCTAGATGCATTTAGTTAATTCTCAGTTATTTTACAGTGCTTCCCACCCCTGTGGATTGTAAGTATGTAATTTCCCTTTGTTGTTTTAATATATGAAAATCACTATGGGGAACTCCCCCACAGTCTTTGGTGTTAAAAAAACATGCCAAAAATCAATTTGAAAACAAACTCAACTCGGAATCTAAGACGAGTCAACTAAGACGACTTTCACGAGCTCGGGCAGCCTCTTCGGGCTGGATCAAGGGCCAATCGGCTTAGCCGACTTGGGCACTCAGCTAAGCCGACTTGGTGGGGGTTGTTCAGCCGGCCTAGCCGACTAGGCAAGTCGACTGGCCTGGCTCGCCGTCTTCTCCGCGCGATTTCTTTGATGTTTTAGTGCGTCTTTTGACCTCCAACACGTTCGAGATGTTTATAACTTGCTGATGATGCCCAAAACCACCTTGGAACATTTTTGAATGTCAACAATTTCCTACAGAGCTTACAGATTCTTGTGAAAGAGGATGAGCATGTGCACAAGTAGGTCACCCAGCTGGTTGAAGAGAATTCGCAGATGAAGCAGATGGCTCTTGCTTTCGAGATCTGAAAATTAGTTTGCTTGCTTTTTTATTGGGATATGGAACTAGATCTGATCTGCGTTAGTTCTGATGAAATCAGATGACACTTCATCGAATAGTATGTTATAGGGCCGATGGCTAAATTCAGCATCTCGATAGTCCCTCCGTTTTAAATAGTACGTCGTTTTAGCTTTTTTTTACATAGCTGCACCTAAATAATTTGGAACGGAAGGAGTATTCGAGATTTTAGCAGAACATTTATTATTTAAGCTAAATTAATTTTCTGTAAAATATTTGTTGAGCTTGAAATTTATGTATGCACCCATGGTTCAGGCATGAGTAGTTCTCGGTAAGTTTAGTTGATTTAATTGTTGGCCTCATCCAGCCTCTGCTAGCTCTTTCTGCAATTTTCCCCCAATTTCGTACTTTGAGTTAACTTTAGCTTTTGTATGTATGTTCTCTTCTTTGGGTTCCAACATGCTAATTTGTCCATTAGACCGTCTGTTGCAGCACAATGATGAATCGGAGATTGTGCAATCAAGAACTTGTTGGTTCACTTCACGACCAATATCCTGAATTAAGATGTCTCACATCCTTACTGTACATTTGATTTGTGTGACTTAATTTTGGCAGGGTGTTTCAACTTGATTGTTGCTTTTGTTTACCCTTCTTAATGAAATACACGTGAAGTCGTGTTCAGGAAAAAAAAAACTTGATCGTTGCTCCAATCTGGGCGGCGGCGGTGGCATCCGTCTCTTCCTCTTCCCTCCCCACGCACTTGACTGGCGGCTGCACCATCTCCTCTACAACCTTCTCCTCTTTTACCTTGTCGAAACGGAGGACTCTCAGGGATGGCGGCGGCCCGGCCTGGCGCTTCTGCGGCCCGGCAGTTGCCAGGACCGCCGCCCAGCAGCACGGCGTGGTAGTATCGGTGGTGACGACCCACTCCAGCACCTTCTGGGTGCGCTGAGTAACGAGGTCGCACATCTCCTTCTCCGACTCCATGTCCACCTCCTCCTCCTCGACGACCGGCTGTGGCAGCAAATCCAGTCTCTTCGCCATACCCCCGTCGCCCGTCGCCGTCGGCCCTCCCCACCTTTCTTTTATTTTCTTTTCTTCGGTCTCTGAAACCTGATTTTATATTTATAATATAGTGGTGGGCTGGGCCGTATCTCCGGAACTCATCCAAATCGAACACGTCTATGCTCCTCCGACTCGGAGTTTACCCTGCTGGTGGGCTGTTTTCTCTCTTTCTTTTTTTCTCGACAGCAACCTGTTTTCATTTTATTACACTACTAGTATAATATTCCCTTTGTCCTAAAATACCCCCCTCCGTCCCAAAAACAAGAGATGTTTTAGGTTTATACTAAGTCAAATAATTTTAACTTTTACCAAATTTAGTTAAACTTGAAATAGTTAGACTAAAGACAATCCTAAAACATCACTTGTTTTTGGGAGAAGAGAGTATAAGGCATTGAAATGCTTAATTTCCCCCCCTAAATTACAAAGTATTCTAGGTCAACTAAATCTCTCAAACCACCAATCATATGCGTACCTACCACCATACTCAAAATATGGTAAGCACAAGATCTCTATAGTCAGGAGAGAGTTATATTGTGTTAAGGTACCTTTTATTTCAGAGTTAAGCGAGTATCTACCATACTTGTGAAACCGGCGAAGGAGAGAAGGTCTTCCAGCCGAAGGTGGAAGATGACTGCCGCGACTTTTCTTTTTTGAAACCATAGCCGCCGGACTTGAAGGAGAGAGAGTTGGAAGAAAACCTGTTAGATGATGAGTCATGGGCAAATCGTCATTTTTCTACCTCTCTCTCTCTCTCTCTCAAAACCAGCGAAAATTATATTTTAATAGGCGCGGTGTGTTATAGCAAATAAACCAGATTTCATAATGGTACTTAGCCAATATCGGTGCGGTGTGTCCTAGCCCATTACATGTTTTTCGAGTGTCCCACAGCCAAATTTGCCTTTTTATAGTTTGCCTCTTTGATATTGTATAAAGATTCTGGTTTGTTTCCATAAACTTAGATATGGATGCAGACTTTGTTCATATTATAAGGAACAACTTAATTCACTTATCTTTTGTGCTTATCTAACACAGTGACAGCAGCATCACATACATCAGCACTGTTGAATCATGTTTCATGCAGTATAATTGGTGTTGCAAAAGGCTGAAGAACCAAAAAGATTGATACTTCATTGGCGATGTTATTAAACCCTGTTTTAGGACAGTCTTAGGTGCCCACCTTTCCGTGATCTTATTCAGTAGTAGAATTATCAAAATTTTGACTATGAATTCAGGCAGATATATGCAATCTAGAGGACTTCTCCTCGGAGGTTGTTTACGGTGGCGGAGCATGACCAGATAAATATAGAGAAAGACCAGTCTAAGTATTAGATCATTAAACACTCATGAACAATACTAAAATTACTGTTTAGAGAGTGGATATTTCATTGGCGGCCCAGCCTTGTCTGAACCCCCTGGTTTTGTTTGAACACTATAATCAAATTTGAATTAACATTTCTTCCAAGAGGAGCTTTCCAAGCAGCCAACACAAACATACGGTCGGCTCTGTATCTCAGGTGCTGAATGTTGTTGCTGCAATGCTGCAGGTTCAGTACAGCTGAAGAGAATCCCCAGTTCATCACCGGCCGGTCACTTGTAGCTCAAGCTTAAGCTGATCCCATTCCCAAAGCCATTCAGAAAAAAGCCAGCGGTCATCAGTCGTTGTCTGAAGATGCAACGACATTCTCAGAGCTCCAAGGAAGGTACCGGTGCAGCTAGCACCAGTCTCTATCCTCTCCAGTACCAGAAGGCTCCGCGCCAAGGAACGAATCCATGCACTGCTGTATTCGCCACATCCCCAAATGTACATCAAAGGCAGCAGCGATGGCGCTGCAAAAATACATATAAACAAAACTACGAGCTCTCAACTCTGCTGTGCTGTGCACCTCAGCACATTCAGGTGAGCCAATTAAGCCCTCTGCTCCGTGTGCCGAGTGCCGAGTGCCGACAGCTTGAACCACGATGGTGTGCCTGAGCTTCAGCTCCAGCAGCTGCCAGGACGCCCACCCGTCGGCGCTGGACTACTTCCTGGCCGTGCTCGTCATGTTCACCGCCGTCGTCGCGGCGCGGCTGCTCGCCAGCGCCGTGGCGCGGTGCCTCTGCGGCGACGGACCTGACGCGCACCACCACCACCACCACCACGACCATCACCACCACAGTCCGGAGGCCACTACCGACGTGGACGAGGACGTGGTGGAGCTGCCGTGGGGCGGCGCCGGGCTGGCCATCTTCGGGCAGCCCGGCATGGACGTCCCGCCGCCGAGGAGGAACGACCAGGGGTGGCACTGGCACGGCATGCTGGCGCCGCCGGTCGTCGCCGGGACGACGGAGCGCGTGGGACACGTCGCTCACCCCAGCCCACCGCGTCTCGGCTGCTAAGCCGTTTGCTTTGTAGTAGCAGCAGCGATTGTCGTCGACGTCTATGATGATACATTGATACTATTATTATTACTCTGTTCTGGTGCTTTTGTAATCGACCCCTGTAAACAATAAAAAATGATATATAATTTATTGCTATCCTTATACAAAAGCCCCTATAGCTCAGTGGTAGAGCGTCAGTCTTGTAAACTGAAGGTCCGTAGTTCGATCCTGCGTGGGGGCATTTGTATTTTTTTTTTTTGCTTTCCGAGATTTACAATATACAATGAAATGCCTGCACAACTTTTCTAGCTTTTTTCACACAATCAATTTCGAAATAGAACTAAAACTGGCTTCCCTTCTGAAATGCTTTCCGAGATCTACCCTGAAATGCCTGCGTAACTTTTCTAGTTTTTTCACACAATCAATTTCGAAACAGAACTAAAACGGGCTTCAGAGCATTCCTGCGGAAATTGCATCGACTATAATCTTAAATTGCATCGACTATATCTTTTGTTTTCCAGAGGTTATGAATTCTGATTCTTTTGATCTAATCTGAGCTTATTTTTTACATACTTCATCAAATTTCAAAACGAATGACGTCTTAGCCATTTAAATAGTGAGATAGCCATGGCCGACATTTTAATTGACAATTTTATGAAAATATGGCATTTAAATAAAAACAACTATATTGTATAAAATCAACTTTCAGACTAAAAATGTTGTATTTCCTACAATCACAAATATAATATAAGCCCTTTAGTATAGGACATCTATATAGTCTCCAATATGACACTTTGAATAGTATTTATAGAAAAGTATTACCTTGCCTTTCAAAAAAAAAGTATTACCTTGGGCGGAGTCTGGTATGTATTACACGAAAGTTTTCATAATGAATCTAACAATGTCAGTTTGTAAAAATACTGATAGTTATAAGACCTTAAAGTTTGAATGAACATATAATGGCCCTGTTTTTTCGTTGAAATTTAGCTGATGCTGCTGCTGATTTGTTGTGAGAGAAAAACATTGTTCCTTCACTGAAAGATACTTCTGAAGTAGTGTTGAAAAACATGACGAATCATAGGGAGTAATATCTATCTTATGTGCCGTATTTTTAGACGGTTATTTTTTAAACCGTAGGCAACATGCCTATCAACAATGAGAAGATCTGGCTTTGCCAATTTTAGATCTGCTAGCTCAATCTTTTTAGGCATTTTTAAAAGTGTTTTTAAAGGCATGGATATGTATTGTATTAAACCATTAGATATACACTATGTTTTTTTTAGACTACAACAGGAAGCTACTTTTCTCTCATGGATCCTCCGGCTCTGGCTCCTCATGTACTGTAGCATGGAGCCGAAGCCGATAAAAATCCTCCCTTAATAAAACAAGTATAAGCATGGCAGCACCGTCTTTAATAATCGGATCGAGCAATCATGATTCTACCATCTAGCATCTACCGTATATAAAAGTCTACATATATCGCTCGATTTTACGATTTGTTACCCAAACTCCAAAAAGTGATTGATTGTCGTAGAGGTAGAGTCTAGGAGAGCGATTTTTTTAGACTACTAGGAACAGCGATCTTAACGACGCCGGAGACCAGCCGAAATCGGCCGTTTGGCAATCGGACTCGATTAGGGCAGTCCAACGAAAGAAACTAGTAGTTTTTATAACATAGGATACCGCATAAAAAAAGTATTGTTTTTTAATTCATGTTTTCTATGAGTAATAATTATTTTCTCTTTCTCTCTCCCAACTCCATCTTCTTTCTTCAATGGGAGCGCGACACGAGCTCGCTAGAAACTGATGGTTTCTCTCCAATGGCGATTTCATGGTTTCTTAGTGCATTGGGTCAAGAGTAGACCTGATTTCTTCATGAAGAAACCATTTCTATGATTTTTGCTCTCTTTCTTCATTAATTACGTTGCCATGTCAATATTTTACCTACATTATTTAATGAGGATAGAAACTATCATCAATGCACCGTTGAACTGCCCTTAGGACTAGGATACGGTACGATCTGAACTCATACGTCGTGTCGGACTCGGCCCAGTCTCGCCCTATAAAGGCATGCAGCAGGCGCCCAACGGGCCCCGTGCATCTCCAAGCCAAGGCCCACGGTACGCTGTCAAGCTAGCGATCGACCGGGAGACGACGGACATAATGATGACGGGCTCCTCCACCGGCGGCGACGGCAACAGCTTGCTCTCCTCGCCGGTGGCAGTGCACACGCCGACGGCCGCCACCGCCGCCAGCGTGGAGTTCACGGTGACGGAGCGCAACGAGGTGGCCGAGGTGGCGAGGGCGGCGGCGGCGGCGGCGCGGCGCGCGTGCTGGATAGCGAGAGCTTCTTTGACGCGGGCACGGCCGCACGGGGACGCGCCGCCACTTCGTGGACGTGCAGGGGCAGGCCGAGGCCATGGTGTTCCTCGTGTCCGTGCGCGAGGACCAGCGCCGCATCGTAGCCGTCTCGAGGTGTTGTTAGGGCCGGGTTTAATTAGCGTGTCACCATGGATCGATTGTGCGTGTGGTCGCTTGTGATGTTGTCAAGGCATGCATGAAATTGGACACTCCAAATCGTGCTTGCATAGTTGGGTTGTGTACGCGTGGAGTCGTGGTCTGTTCATGTCGTGCATTCTGATGTTTCTGTGAATCCCAGAACGGAGATAGAATTCATGTTCCGCATCATCGGATCGATCAGCTAAGTAGGAGTAGTATTTTACTTTTTTTATTTAGTTGCATGTAATAACAAAGTGTGCAATTCTGAACTTAGTTATTCGGCGTTCTTCCCACATGGGTTTTTGGACCACAGAGGTCTGTGGTGTTGAAATGGGCGGGCCCATTGGATGATTTTTGGAATGCGATTAGGTTGGTGAGGCCATGACGGTTCTTCCCTATGGGCTCCATTACCGTCATGCATGCCAATATTTTTAGTCAAAATTTGACAAAGGTGGAATCGGCGTTACTGGCGCCCGGACGTTCGGACGCTCGCGCCTTGTTTCCCGCGCGTAGCGAGCGGACGGTGCAGACCTCAGACCTCAGCTTGCTCCGGGGCCACCACGCGTGCATCACGCCGCCATCGGCCCACTCGGGGCCAACACCTCCGTAGGCGTCTGTGTGCTCGTCTGGTAGGGTTTCCCTGCCAAGCTCGAACTGTCGCGATGAGATGGAGGGAAGGGAAGGAAGGGGAGGGAGAGGAGAGGGCGAGGCATGCCGCGCGAGGTAGGAGCCGAAGCCCTGCTGCAGGTCGTTGTCCGCTAGCCACTGGCACCATTGCAACATGTACAACACCCGATCTACTTTTGAAACATCCAGATGAAACATTTACAACATACGTCTGAAGGTAGATGAAACACTTGAAACATGCATCTGAAACACTTGCAAAAAATACCTAAAAACACTTGGAAAGCCATTGCAAAACATATGCAACATCCAGATAAAACACTTGCAACATATGTGTGAAACATATGCAACATCAAAATAAACACACTTGCAACATATGTATGAAAAAACAGATAAAACATTTGGAACAGTCGCTTGCATCATATGTGTATAGCCATTGCAACATATGCAACATCCTGATATACTTTTGTAACATTCATACGACATACTTGCAAGATACATTTAAAACACTTGAAACATACGTTTGCAACATAGGGGGCATCAACGGCCCAGCGTACACCCAGGCGCAGGCGCAGGCCCAGGCAAAGGCTCCCCTTCCTGTCGACGAGCGAGGTTGATGGGGGCGCAGGCGTAGGCCTCCCCAGGCCAGGCACATGCCTCCCATGCCTCCCCTTCGGCGATGGGCGAGGTGGATGGGGACGCGGCACGGGATGGTGGCACGACGCAGGATGGTGGCGTGAACTACGGAGCAGCCAGGTATGGAGGCGCAGGGGCAGCCAGGCATGGGACGCAGGTGCGGCGCCGCCGCGCTGGAGAAGGCCATGGTGGGTAGGTGCGCTACCTGCGGCGAGCGGCCCTGCACAACTGCGCTGGAGAAGACGAGTGGCTCTGTCTTTTTTTTAAGATACGGAGGCGGAGTGCGGGCGCGCTATGAAGCAGCGAGCGGAGTGCGGGTGCGGGGCGTTCGGAGGGACGGACACCGCATCCTATCCATTACCGTGGTGGAATTGGTCGTAAATGCTGCAAACGCCAAAATTTACGAACAAAATCTTGAACATTTGCCATAAGACATTGTAAGAATTATATTTTGTTAATTTCTTAGATCTGTGGAGGGAGAAGGCGCAGGAAATGTCCTTTTTTTGTTCATTGTATTCATCTTCTGTACATGCAGTCTGGGATATGCTTTGTCCTCTCAACTAGCCCCCACACCATGTCTACCACCACCAAGTCTGGACACACGCTTACACAACCACAACTAGCCTGTTCGGCTAGGGCTGAAACGATCGTATACGATCGTGGATTATTACTGCTGGCTGGTGTCGGTGCGGGACCCACAGGATACCCCGTAAGGAAGAGAGAAGATCTAGTCTAACTAGGATTCTCCCCATGTAATCTTAGTAGTAGTATTATCCTATAATCCTACTAGGAACTCTCATTGTAAACCGACTAAGATTTTGACCTCCTGACTATATAAAGGAGGGCAGGGTTCCTAAAGACGGGAGATCAGGACTTCTACAACACAACAACACATAATCAATACAACGCAAGGGCTAACGCCGACTGGATGTAGGGCTATTACTCGACCACAGTCGAGGGCCTGAACCAGGATAAATTGACTGTCTCTTGCGTTCACCATCGAGTTCCGCATACGCTGAAGCCCGAACAATACTGCCCCGGGGACCCCCGGGGTAGGCTATCGGTGGTAAAACATCGACAGCTGGCGCGCCAGGTAGGGGTTTTCGGCGAATTTGCATCCGAGAGCTCGATAGACCTCGACAGCATGATCTTCTCGATGGGATCAACTTTCATCTTCGGCTCATAGATCTGCGAGGCGGACGATAATGGCAAGCTCCAAAGCCATCTCCTCGAAGATTCGAATCACCATGAAGACTATT